GGCAATACCCAATTAGGTGCCCATCTTGTTTTCCAGGCTGAAAAACAGGTAGAATCTATTCAGTGAAGTATCAATCTGTGATCCTGAATGTAATATGCAATAGAAATGCAGAAATCCACAGATCATTAGAGTATACCATATTTATAATTCATCACATTTCTAATGCCTCAAAATAGAAAGGAGAAATCTGTTTCAATGAAAGAAATTGAAGCATTTCTTATTTTATCAATTTCCCTTTCAATTGAAGAGACAAGTTTAAGAGAACATATTTTCTTACCTCTATGTTATTATTCATTAACCCACAGGCATCAGCGAAGTCTGGATGTTTGGTATTGATATAAGCTAACTCAATGGCCACCAGGTTATGAACCTGCAATGCAAGACCCAGACCAAAAATTCAGGGAATAAACCTAATGCCAGTGCAAAGCTGGCAAGCACAGCTTAACTGCCCACAGCAAAAACCCACTCAGCCACAAACCACCTACAATACGTGAACCAGGGGCAGATGGCTTACTCTGAGGGATAGTGAGTATAAAAAACACACAAATTTTTGCTTTTCACATCAGATACAGAGTCAAATATTGAAACACTATTTACTCCCCAACAGGCCAAATCAGACTTTAATATTAAAACATATTTATTTGAAGGTAAAAGATGAACATTTAGCTTTCACTAGCTAAAGGACATTACAAGCCTCTGAAACATTCAGAATAAGGTTTACAATTTAATTTTCATCACTGCATCCCAAACTCTACAGTAAATGTAGAGCTCCTGTTACAAGGGAGGGAAATAACCAATATAAGGAAGAGTGGAAGATGTTAAATTGAAGTTTTAGTAAAATTCTTCTTGGAAAAGTGAAACATAGGGGACAATATGCTTAATCCTGACTTCACCCCTTTGTTTTTTATGTATCTATAACATATGATTTAAAATGTGTACGTATCAAATAACTATCAATATAATAAATAAGTTAAGATTCCTTTAATAACTTGGGTTCCTGACTCTGCCAGCAGAAGCATCAAGAATCCAGAAAACATGCACTTTTACCAGTAAAATTACAGTAGCTGGAAACTTACCATTTCATTTGTGACAGGAAGTCTCCTACGCAAAAGACAGGTTACTACTTCAACTATGGCATCGTGCAGTTTAGGAAACCTCAGTAATTCCTAAAAACAAACCGAAATTTTACTGGTGAGACTTCCAGAACTTTTTAAGCAAATAATCACACATATGCCAGTAATTACAATTCTAAAGCATGCATTTTTACCTGTGTACTGTAATTACTACAATGCTGGATAATCCTCTGCATTTCCTCATGAACCAACTCCACACAGCGCAAACTCGGTTCTTCCAAACGTTTGATTTGCCTTTTTACCAGTAACTCAAAGGAAACTTCAGGAACAAACAAGGCAGGACGGGGACCCTGGTTCAAAAGGAGGGAAAAAGCTGCTAAATTGTGTAAAAAACAAGATGCTTTTCTAAGAAGTAGGATCTGATGAGGCCCAGAATAAATCAGGTCACAGTGATCACACCTGACACTCAGAACAGGTCTCAAGAGTAAAATATGTTACAAGAATATTTAAAAACGAAAGCTATCAGTTGCTATCTTTAAGACAAAATGTATTAAACAATGATTAACCAGCATCCTTACAGAACCTTAGAGATTTCTACCCACTCATTTCACTTTAGGCTTACAAATCTGAACAATGCTTTTCTGCATTTTTGGATCCCCATTTACATGAAATCTATTATAAAGGCAAAATAATTTTCTTTCTAATTTCAGAGAGAAAAGCTGACATTGTTTATTGGACAGTGTTGGGCATCTAATACCATACCAACAAGATAGGTGAATTTCGGTGTTTGGAGGAATTTCATTTATGATCATAGAGACCAATGCTTAGCTATACATATAACATTTTTTACCAGAAATAAGACATATTTCCTGTTACTAAACCCTGTTTCTACATTTCTATTTTATGAGATAGGAACATGCACACAGATCATTGCTAAAGAGTACCTCATGCTCCAAGACCATGTAGAAACCTTCTCTGTCCACACACAACAGGCATATTACAAAAGCAGACTGACATGTTTGACATTCAAAGTCAAGCTCAAAGGAGTGAACATTTTTGTATACTGCAAAATTTAAAAGTGGCCTTACTCTGTTAATTCTTGGCAACACCAATTCCTATATTAGCAAGAAGCCAAATCTGTCATGTAAACACAGAACCATTTCAAAGTTGTGCTCCTTATACATAATTAAACCTTAGCTT